AAAAAGTATTTGTTCCAAAAAAGATTTCAACGTGTAAAGAAAGTCGGTATTTAAAATAAAAAATAAATCTTAACTAATTTGGTTAATAATTTAACTGTGTTAATAATATAAACATTTAAAAATATTAACAATTTAATGAGTCGTGTACTGGAAACGCACAATTTAGTCGCCATATATTTCTGTTTAAAAAACCCAACAACAATAGGAAATTTAATGTAAACAATAATCAGCACCAAACTATTATTTATTTTAAACACACTAACAGCTATAACAAGCAATATCGTATTTGTAACACGATGTTTGATACAAATGTTTGTATACAGACGATTGCATTATTATTTATGTTTCACCTTTAAAATTATTCTAATCCTATTTTAAAAACGTTGTTTTTAATTGTTGAAAATACACCCCTCCATTTTTTTATAAAAATTGTAAATCATCGACATTTGTCTATTTTATGTAGTGATGACAAGGGTCAGTCAATTTCAATTTTGAAAATCACTTAATTTTTTTGTGGGTTTTCTGTTTTAATTATTAAAATTGAATTATTATTTTTTATTACTTTGACAACCACTTTCTGAAAAAAAAAACAGTCCAAACTACCACAACTTTTCTGTAAATTTACTTGTTAAAATATATTTTAAAAACAATTATAAATATACTGGACATTGTTTTCACACATTTCTATTTGTTTTTTTTTCAAAATGTTAAATAATAATTTGATTAATTCCTTTAACAACTTTTGATTGGATATCAATAATTTTTATGATTGTTAATCAAGTAAATATTTAAGTAAGTCTTCACAACCCACCTTTCCATCCTTATCAGCATCCATATCTCCCATTGCGTTTTTGAGTTCTTCTTCACCAATTTCAACTTTAACGGCTTTCATAAATCTAACCAATTCATTAAGTTCAAGATTTCCACTGTTATCTTCGTCAAGTAAATGAAATATCGCAGAGTAAACAGATCGATCAGAATCGTTATCTATTCCTTTTATGGTAGTCATCAAACGGACGAATTCATTAACATTTAAAGACCCATTTTCTTCAATGTCTGCGATGTCAAACATAATTTTAAAATGTTTATTGTTGTTATCAGAGCCTTCTTTGAACACATTCAAAAAATCGTCATAGTTAATAAGACCATTGTGATCGGTGTCAAGTTCTGCAAATTGTTGAGTGTAGTCCATTGTATGTTATCCAGTTTGGTAAACTTAATATTTATATTAAAAATAAATTATTACACATTGTGTAATTTTTAAATGATAAATACTATATCTTTTTAATAATTTATTAACTTTCAGGTTGGTTAATT